GTTTTAAATTTATAGAATATTTAATAAATACAAATAATCTTCTCTTTTTCTGTTACTTTTTGCAACCCTCAAAATGCTTAGGAATTTTCTTCTTTTAAGTTTCATTTCCTTACTAAAACATCTGGCTCCAGTAAACTGTTCACAAGAATCGATTTACGATGTAAAATCAAAGATCAAGAAATTACATGACTTGAATATTAATGTTTCTACGTTCTATGAGCTATTAAATGTGGCAGAAAATGCTACAATTCGGGAGATAAAACTGAACTATAGAAAACTCAGTAGATTGCCAAATCCATTTTCACAAATATCAGATAAGCAGTATTATGATATTCTCTTTACAGGTTATTCTCTGCTCAAGGATAACATTAAAACCTATGAATATGTACTTTCCAACTCATATGTCTTTCTGGAGGAGAATCTGAATATTGGTCAAAAGAACTCCAAATACGTTAATTTACTCATTTTAGTGGCTACAACTTGCCTTGTTATTCTCTTCGTGGATTTACTCATATTCCTTTACAGATATCTGCAGTATTCAGAATTGAGTGAGAAAAGGAGATTAAGGACAAATAATCCCAAAATGTATATTTACAGAATATTTAGCAGAAACAAATAGGAGAAGAAATGGATTAATAAAGCATATTTCTGCATTACTAAAGATTATTTGTATTTATTAAATATTCTATAAATTTAAAACATCAAAGGGTTGTACATGTATTTACTGTTAATGGTACTCATATTAAATATTCCAATAGAATGAGAAAGAGTTTTGAGATTCAAATTGGAATTCAGCCAATAATAACACCATATTCCGGCATAATGAGAATGCTGAAGTATAAGGGTTGTTATAGATATAAACCTCAGCATACCTACCATCGCAAGGAATCCTGACAAATTAGTCTATTAATAATATATGAGAATATCATTTTATCAATCTTATTACAGTAGCATTATATATAAAAGTATTATCCAGTTACTTACTTTCCTCAGAATCAGCTCTTTCTTCATCATATCCAGATGCAGTACCTGTTCTACCTATGTATAGATCCATATCTTCAGTATCATTTCTAAATGTAACACCTTGGAAATCCCTAGTAGCAAGAATTTCACCCACTTTATTGTTTATTGCTAAATCCCCATCAGTAACTCTAGGGATACAGTTCATATTCTGTTTATCAACAGATATCAAATTGTTACATACCTCCTCAGAATCTGCTACATGGCCAATAAAATTTTTATTGTATTCATTCATCCATACACTGGTAATACCAACAGCAGCACTGAATGGCGAAATAACTGGAACGTGCAACTTTATAGAACAGTTAAAAACTGGACAATCAATTAGTATTATACAGCCAATGCTGTCTACTGAAATCAATCTTTCATAAGAAATGTCTTTCAAAAATAATTTGTAGAATGTCTTTGAAGTAGCTCCAGTCAAGCCATCAACTTTATTAGATCTTTTCCCATTCAGGACAATTTTGGAAGCATCAGATTCAAACAGTTCAGATGTATAGATTACTGCAACAACTTCAGCGTTTTCATAAAACTGTCCATTTATATTCTCTTTCATCAAGTTTGGTATGTAAGCACCAGAATCTGAATTGAAACTGCATACAAACTTGCAATTTGGAAAATGGTGGGAGTAAAAATCAAAGATGAGCCGATTTTCTGTGATAACAAGTATATTTGATTCGAGATTTGGCAACTCATTGATGATATAATAATTATTTCTCTCAAGTTTCACTTTAGATGATGTGTTTTCCCTGATTCTATTATCAGCAATGCTTGTGACTTCCACTACATTTGGAATGTATAATCCACTGCTGTCTGAAATAGTTAATAGTTTTACCGATGGAGTACATTCCTCAACTAGATAAATGCTGTCATAAAAAATCGTATCAAGGATTGTTCTGTTGGTTGGTAGATTTTCAATTACCTTGACACTGTCGAACAGGGAATCTACTTCTGATATATATTTCCGATTGATTATGGTACTTAACTCATTTTTAGTTTCATTGGTCAATTCTTCCTTGTAATACACAGCATTTTTGAATTTATGAAGGGGACATTCTATTCCAACTACTATATAGGATTCATATGATGGGCTCTTAAGTGGGCAAATAATTGATGATGAACAAATGAGGAAAAATGATGAATTGATTTCATCTGAAGACAAGAGATCATAAATTGTTTGAGCTATTTTAGAATATTCTGGAGAAAAAAGGATAGCTGTCTCTGAAAAGCTATCAAAAAATGTATTTTGGGCCATCGAGCTGCTAGAAAACGGCATGGATGGGAATAAAAATTTTACTTCATTTTTCAAAAATTTCAGCCCCAGTATGATTGCATTACTAACTCTTATTTCAACAGTTTTCGGTATGATTGATAGTTTGAATGAGTCTTACCATATGGAATCCAATCCGAAGCAGTATATAAAGCATTATATTAAGTTTACAAACATTATCTCTGATGAGAAGTCTACGAATTTTGTCAATAATAGAAAATTGGCATTAGAAAACGTATCTGGGATATCATCCAATACTACAGAATTTGGTGTTTTCAAAAACATGACTATTGATACACTCGAGGATGGTAAGTTTGTAAAAATTTGTGGAGATTTTTTAATTTCTAAAGATGAAATATTATATTTTCCTTTCATTTCCCTAAAGATTTTGGATGAGGATGGGAAAGATGTACTGGTGAGTTATAGTGAATCCCAAACTCAAGAAGGCAAAGTAATCAGACTTGCATTTTCCATTTCAAACAATCAACAGTCTTTACAACAAAAGACTTTACAATTTAATTTAGAAAATTATTGTCTGGGTGAAACAATAATTGGTCCTGGATTTAGAATAATAGTTGCTGACGAACCATCAGAATATAATAGCCACGACAGATGAATTTTCAAGGGCATTACATGCTGCCATCGTAAAATCAAAATGATAAAATTTCTCTAATAATAAATCATATTTTAAAAACTCAATTTATTGCACTTAAAACCTTCTTACAACCAGGTTTATTCTTTGATCACAGACTGGCTTATGGAAGGTGAGATATACAAAATACCCATGGATTATACTTGTTATAACTTCTCGTTACAGCCTGTATTATTGTAATTCTTCCAGGGACCATAACCCTCATTAGAATAATAGTCCATATTGTATTCACCACCCTGGTAGTATACTTCGAATGGGGAAAGTAGAGGTTTTTTATAATTGTGACCCCAGTCAATACTAAGTCTGGGGCAGCCAACCTGGACAAAAGAATCGACAAAATCGAAAGAGTCTAAAATATGCTCATTGATTTCTTCCACCACAATCTTATACACTCTGTAGTTTTTTCCAAGATATTCCACCAAATTCTTAAATATTTGCTTATTTCCTTGTCTGCCCAATGTGCCTAAAATTATCCCAAAGCTTTTCCCTTTCATTGCTTTCTTTATCTCTGCTTCCCTAATTGTTTTCATTTTATCAAAGTCATAAAACTCCTTACTCAGTTTTCGACTGAATGGACAATATTTGTGGAATTCCAATGTTGGATTTCTTATCATAGCAGATTCTAAGTGGAATCTACCATCGCCGATATAGATAACTGTTTGTGCATATTTAATAATTGGAGAGGTACAGCCAAGAACCTCTCCGGCGCTCAGAGGCTTTATCTGAGGAACAGCAGCGGAAAGTGATGAGCCAAAATGAAATACATCCTTTCCACTCAAATTAGTACCATTTGTGGCTTGAGTTAGCGAGCCAGAGACCCCTTGGTTGGTTGCTGACACCGTACCTGTCTTATTGATCTTTCTTGATAGCTGATGCACTGCGGTATTAAACTGTATTGTTCCTATTATTGCTACAGTTCCCGTGAAATATTTAGTAATTAGTTCATAGAGGTGATCCACATCAATCCTAATATCTACAAAGATGTACAATACTCGAATGGACATGTCTGAGATTGGAATCAAACACGAATGTCCATAATGAATAAGCAAGTCTACATTTGAAATGCTATCGTCCACACAACAAGCACCATAAACCACATCATTTAAAATAACACAATCTGCTTGT